GTCACACCTCAACCCGTCTCAAAGCCAACGCTGATTGGACGTTCGTTCGGTGAACGGCTCCAAATTTAATTTAACGGAGAGTCTCCAGACTGATCTGCGAGAGAAACCTTGAAAGCTCGCGAGATCAGGATGGTCTCACGAGGCTACAGCTTCTATGCTTCATAAAACTGTCACCACAGCATGATGTAGCCACCACTGTACTTTATCATGGAAATAAGTTGTTTTATACCCCCATCCCACTAAGCAAAATACCTGTTTAAACCCTGGGAACAAAGGCTCTTAGTGGCAGTGGGAACACCAGACCCGAATTGACCCGCTAATGTACACGATACCACTGAGCGTAACGCGCAGATGTCAACACATCGCACCAGTTGCGTCTGATCTAACAAGCCAAAACATTTCAGCTTACTTTTGATAAACATGGCGCACAAAGAAAATAACAACCTAGAAATAAGTAAAAATTTCTGAAATTAAGTGTATTTATCCTTAATTTGAGCAGTTAAATAAGATTAGTTGCCTATAGAATGAGGATTTTTACTCTTAGAATAAGATAATTAGATAATATGAACTTGAAATAAAACAATGCAATGGTGTTTTCTTTTTTAAAATGTAAATTGCCTTGTTCTACTGCAAACAGCCGAACAATAAAGCAGACTGACTACGCCCTGGCTCACTTCCATGTTGCTCTCCATTGTTTACTTTCCTGACTTCTGTCGCACTGATGTTATCATCAACGCAAACCCAGCGTGATGGCATCAGCAGACATGCAGCTGTGGGTGACAGCTTGCCAGCGGGGGGGGGGAACCAAATATATATATTTTTTTATATTTCCCATTTATTTAGTAACCACTTTCAGGTATTAAATAATAGAACACTTTCACTTGAGTTGTCCGTCTGCTTTTCTTCAGATTACGTATTTGTGACGCCGGTGGAGGTGGACTCAGACGGCGTGTACCTGACGCACGACGTGACCAGGCGAAGCCGCCGCAGCAGGAGGTCCCTGTCTCCTTCCTTGCACTATCAGCTCTCTGCCTTTGGGCAGGACATGCAGCTGGACCTGCTTCCATCATCTGTGGTCGGGCCGGGGTTCACCGTGCAGAAGCTCAGCTCGGACGGCATCGCCACGGTGACGGGAGATGAGGAGATTCACCACTGCTTGTATCAAGGATTTATTCGCAACCTGTCAGCCTCCTCGGCCGCCATATCAACATGTTCTGGACTGGTAAGCTGGCTCTGTTGTAGACAAATCACTTTTCAGGTGAAAAACTCCACATTTATTGTATGTTTTTGCTTTTCTAAAGCAATCTTACAATAAGTTAGATTTAATGCTTTTTAGATTTAATATTGTTGCTTTTTAGGGTAAATAAACATTTAGCTTTATTTTTAAAGAGACATTTTTTTGGCTTTGAATTAATATAGGACATTTATTTGGTGGACCAAAAGTATTGGCTTCATTTTCTTAAGGAAGGAAAGTTTATTTTTATAGCACATTTCAAAAAGCAAACAAATCAACCAACCATTATACATTTACACTTGGCTCTAATGAACAGGAATTAAAGGTAGTAAGCTTTCTACTCACACTTAAGGAAATGATTTTTGTATACTTCTCTGCATTTAAACCCATCCCATTGGGGAGCAGTGGGCTGCCATTGTGCAGCGCCCGGGGAGCAGTGTGGGGTTAAGGGTCTTGCTCAGGGAGCCAGAGGATCGAACGGGGATCGAACTCACAACCTCAGGATTCAAAGCCCTATGCCCTAACCACTA